CGTCCAACTCCAGCCACAACTTCGAGGTGCTCTACGACGACCCCAACGGCCTCCTCTTCAGGAACAAGAGGGACCAGAAGATCCTGAATGTGGACCCGCTGGTAGGCTGCTGCCCCTGTTGTTGTTGTTGTTGTCCTGCTTGGTTTTTGACCCCCAGGGAGACAAATGGCTCTGCTAATTAGATCACTTCACCTGTTACGTGGCAGTAAAATTGTCCCAGGAAAAGGAAAAGGCCACAGGGCGTGAAACTGCTTTGAAAGCCTTTTTTGTGGAAACAGGGACTAATGTTGTTGTCTTTGTGGTTTGTTTGTACATCCTGTCCTTATTTTGCTGCATTCACTGTCTTTTTTTTAAAGATGTCTACAGTTTAAGCCATCAAATGCAAAAGGTTTGAAAGTCATTTTTCACCTCCAGACGTCCTTCTGACGTTTCACCAGCTCTTAATTGACCTCCGTTATCAGACGGTGATTTTAAGAGGAGCTCCTCATAGGAGACACGTTTTATGAAAAGTATTTTTTATATATTGACTTTCATCTAAAAACCGCTCTGGGGATTTCTAATAAGAACTCTTTTAAATTCCAAGAGTTTCAATCCTCACAGATTTGTGTCACGCTGCAAACCCTTTTTTTCAAACAATCCGTACAGAACAGTTTGTTCCAAAAGCGGTTCCTATTCAAAGCTCCCCCAAAGGGCCCTCAGATGCCTCAGAAGGAAAAGGGGTCCTGGTTAAGACCTCGGCCCTTCGGGAAGAACCCGTTTAGAACCCTGGTTTCTCGGAGCGTCTTGAGAGAATCGGACAAACTGAGAGGAAAGATCTTTGCTTTCCGCCTGCACAAAGAGCGGAGGGTCGAGGGGTCGGGTCAGGTGCTTCCTCCAGTCTGACAGCAGTCCCCGTCTCTGCTGGGGGGGGACGGACAGCAGTCCCCGTCTCTGCTGGGGGGGGACGTAGCTGGCGGAACTATTCTGAATCTGCAGACGGCGCTGTGGGGACTGCGTTTTTTGGCAGCGCGGCGTTCCTCCTGCGGTGGAGCACCGCCCCGGCCGGGCCGTCTATTAAAAACACGAGAGAAGGCCCAGGGAGCCAGACGCAGCAAACCGCCCGCCTGCCCAGAACCCGGGTCGGCCCGGGTTGGGCTCCGCCGCGGGGAGCAGCGCAGAACCTCCCGGCCTCCAACCCCGCCATGAGCTCACTGGCTGCCCGTGTGGGCCGGGGGGGTCGGGGGGGGGGTCGGGGGGCTCGTCCTGTTTCTGTCACGATAATCGCCTCGACTCTATTTATGACACAATTTAGCCTTTTTTAAATAGTTTGCTTATCATTTAGTTCTGCAGCATTTTTTATTGGACAGTTTTTATCGACGTTCTTTTGAGCTGGCAGGAAGGCCTCACTCATCAGGACCCCCACAGGTGTGTGTGAGGTAAAAGTGTAAATTGAGCGTAATGGTGGGCTACGGATCCACTCCCACTAGAAGCCTCTGACACGCTTCGCCTTGAATAAATGGTCCCAGCTGGCGGAGGCTTCACATGGTCGGGCCGAGGCCCATTTGACGAATGAGCATTTACGGCCTCTATGTTGCACTTTGTTGTGCCTGTTGTGCATTTAATACATTGACATTCTTCATTTAGCTGATGCTTTTATCCAAAGCCACTTACAACAGGTCTTGATACCGACGCACAACGAACCCTTTTTCCAATAAAAAACTCAAGAACTGCAGACTTGAGCTTTTTTTAATTAAAAGTTTTAACTTTGAGGCTCTCATTGACCTGCGAGATGAAATCAAAAGTGGCTATTTAGGGTGAACGAGCTTATATCTACACTTCCAAAGGTCTAGCTTTGTCTAGAAGTGGAACATCTAGCTACTAAAGGTGGACCTCAGCCTTCCTGAAGATGCCTGGACAGGGTTTTATGGGTAAACGGCAGGTTGCAGAGAAGTTGAGCTGCACGACTCCCAAATCTCCACAAAGCTCATAAAGCTCTGCGCGGACCGGTTCCTCCAGCGAGCCGATCTGGACGTCTCTGGACCACCCTCGCCGAGGTCCGTGCAGCCCGGAGACGCATGTCTCACATTTAAGTAGAGTATCTGCTAACGTGTTGAAGAGCCAGCGGGCGTATTTTGCTCCCAAGAAGTCAAAAATAGCTCAATGCCGCTTTTGAAACCTCACATGTCACAGTGTGTTTAGACTGACGGCGAAGCCAATTTCAGAAGAGGGTTACAAATGTATATAAAGTCAATGGAAAGGCACAAGAGGTGCTGGAGGCCGAAAAATGTTACCTCGAGCAAAAACGTTCCGTTTAAAGAAGCTCGGGAGAAAGTTTTTAACTGTCACATAAACATACATTCATGCACCCGAAACACAGACGGCTAAATCACAGGTTTAAGGAAGGTGGAAAATCCCTTTTCAGCGCCTCGATAACGTCCCGACGAGCCCTGCCTAACTGCTCCAAACTCTCTCTGTGCTGGCTTGCAGTCGGGCGCCGGCGAGGATTCCAGTCGGACCTTCCTCCAGTCGGACCTCTACACCCACGCCGTCATCTACGACCACAACGTCAGGACCGCCTGAGCTTCAGCGGCCGACACGTCCGTGCACATGGCGCATGTCGGAGAGCCCCCGGGGGCCTGTAATCTGCCCCGAGTCATTCACAGCCTGCTGCCCTCGTATCATGCGTCCCATCTGGGTGGAGGTGCCGCAGTGAGAAAGAAACCAAAAAAATGTGGATTCAAACGCCGGGTTCCCAGGGGGGGGGGGGGGGGGAGGGGACGGACTAGGGGGACCACTTAACAAAAAACCTGAGCTTTCATCTTAACTCGCCCCCCCCCCCCCCCAAAAAGTTCCCGGGAAGGAACCAAAAAATTTTTTCCCCCCAAAAAGATCCGCAAACTGCCCCAAAAAGGGGGGGGGGGGGGGGGGGGGGGGTCGTCCCGCCCGCTCCGGCCCCGGCGTGTTTCCAGCTGTTTGTCTAAACAAATGAGAGGAGCGGGAGCTTTGCGAGATGGCGGGGGTTGCGTTTACGTCCTCCCCCAGGCTGCGGTAGCTCCAAGTGGAGGAATGGGTAAATGGGCTTAAAGCATTCCGCATGTTGCCAGATGTAAGACACACTTTGCAGGACATCAAACGGCTCCATCATTTACATATCAGTCGTTTCTTTTACTGGAAGACGTCTCTGCTTTGGGAGTTATTCAGGATTTCATTTGCTTTTGTTGTTGAAGCGCAGCCCCACCTGAGTGTATGAGATGCATGAAGCCGAAGGCTTTGTAAGGGAGACACTTCCAACCAATGAGTCCATTTCTACACATTTCTACACATGAATTGCTTCCCAAAACCCAGTTACACTGAATTAAAATGTCGGCTTGAAGGTCGAAGCAAAAAAGGTTGAAAATCTGAACTCTTGAGTTTAAAAATGGTGATGAAATGATCACGGTTCCTCCGGCCCGAGACATGAAATGATCTGTTTATCATGACAATAAAACATGAGGAATCCATCGTTCCCGTCCTCTTGAAGAGTCCCTTCAAACGGACGAGCAGGAACGCGTCTTTCTGCTTCTGTTCAGCCGCGCTCTTTTTTTTTTTAAAGTTACGAGCTTTAAACAAATGAGTTAATTCCAACACAAACCTCTAATAGTCTCAGTCTGCGTCTGTCTGTCTGAACAGGACTCAGGGGGGGGGGGGCACCCGTGTCGGGAGGACGATGATGAAACACGACGATGAACCGAGTGTTTCATTTGATGTTCTGTATGTTTCCACTGTCGCATCTCTAAACACATCTTCCCCGTGACGTCTGTTTCGTAGAGAAAAGAAAAGGGCTTCGTCTTCACTATTGTCCCAACAGCACCAACCGGACGGACGAGGACGAGCCGCCCGTTGAAATCGGGGGGTGTCCTCTCCCGGACCTCGGGGCGAGGTGCCGACTATCGTCCACTGCTGCTCCCTCCGTGTGGAGTCAGTCGCTCCGACCACCTGCCAATCAGAACAGCGGATGTGGGTGGGGACCAAACAGGCGTTGTTTTTTTTTAAATGGCGTCAGACGGACAATTTCTTAAAGGAAAAGACGAAATGAAAGTAGCTGGAAGGCAGACGGATCACGTGTCTGTGCAAAGCAACGATTTCACTATAAAGTCACGTTTAAATGGTCGCGTCCCTCTTCGTTTTCTTTATTGGGCTTTTAAGCTGTCGGCGTTTAACCGAACGTGGTTTATTGGTTTGAGGCCTGACTTGCTCTTAATATTCACAACATGAGTTTCCCGAGGTGGATAACTGGGCCTCCGGGGGTCTATTCCGCTTGACCTCTGTTTGTATGTGTTCAGCATGAATAAAAAGCAGCATTCCAAAAGTTGTCTAAGAGACAAAGGCGTCGGCTAAAGCGCTGAGGAGGGATGACTTGTGTCTTCACATATTCATGTCTTCACATATTCATCCACATGAACGATGTTCAGACGTGAATGTGAACGTTCCTCTTTCATCCAAATGTTAAACTTGAGTTCAGCTCTATTCACATGCGTTTAAGCAACTTCACTTTTCATCAGTCAAAACGACAGAAAAAGAGGTTAAGAAGCTCAATTTGAATGAATGAGTTGTTCACACGCGTGTGTCACGATAACGACTACAAACTCCACACATGATCTGATACATGATCTCCATTCACAGAGCACAAGATGAATGAATGAAATGCGGTTCGTGGCGTCAACGCGAGGCTCCAGCGGCACGAGACGCACAGACAGAGTCGTTGTCTCTGAGGAGCTTCGCCTTTTCATCTCCTTCATCTCCGTCTTATGGAAAAAGAGCCCTGATTGATTGATTGATTGATTGATACTCAGGCTGCCCATCTCCTCCCTGGGGGGGCGGGGGGGGTCAACCCGCTCAGCTACCAGAGACGTGGCATGCTAATATTATTGCCATCAGATGTCCCTGATGTCCCAGTGGGGAAATGGCCTAATCATTTCCTCCCGACTGCCCCTGAAAGAGAAGCAGTGGCGAGGGGGAGGCCGCCTGGATGGGGGGGGGGGGGGGGGGGGGGGCACAGTTCAGCATCCGGATCGGACGGTGGTAGAACAGGATGCGTGCGCTTAACGCCATTGAACTAAACTAAATAGGGAAGAGAGCCTTTAATGCGGCCAATAAGCCCGCTGCATTCAGCCGCGCGGCCCCGACGCACGGAGATACGCGCAAAGGGGGGGAGGGAAGGGGGGGGGTCTCTGTGGCAGTTAGATACTCAAAAAGAGAGAAAATAATACGTCGATAAATCAACGGAATGTCTTTTTAATAAAGGTTTTTTTTTCAAAGATCCGTCTCGAATCAACTGACAAAACAGCTCAAGATAACATTTGATAATTTGTCCTCAGGATGAATGTGCGTAACAGTATCTTCAACAGGAAACTCTCTCCCTCTCCCTCTCTCTCTCTCTCTCTCTCTCTCTCTCTCTCTCTCTCTCTGTGGGTGTGTGTATGTGCGCGCGCGCGCGCGTGTGCGTGCGCGCGAGGAATACCCAGCTGGTCCCACAAGTCCTATAATACCAAGCACAACACGCTTTACCTTCAATGAAAGCTGAGACTTGGGGGACGCTGGCTGCCGGTCCTCGAATCACCTCCGAGCTCGGACACAAAAAACCCGAGCGCGTCGCCGTTTTTGCGGCTCATTTGCGCCGCATCCGTTTCACCTTTTATCATCCAAGTCACCAACTGCAGCGCGTTTAGACGTGTGACTTTCCAAAATACCCCAAAAGACAACTTGGATACGTTTTTTGTCCTGCCCACTTTCCTCTATTGCAGGTGGGTCTCATATCGTAAGAGTGGACTCCTCAGGTGATGAAATGTCTTTTTGGACATAGGTGCCACTTTTGGAAAAGTTTTCCACAACTGTGACTTTTTCTTCTTTTCATTCTTCTGGCTCGAGCATGGCTCTCCACGCCCGGTCTGTGTTGGTGCTGCTGTACGGATGGAGTTCTCTTTGCGTCGGATACTGCGCGATGCTGAAACCGGACAGTGTCTCCGACAGACGCAAGGTGGATTTTACGCATCCGGAGGAGACTAAGCAGCCCGGGAAAGACGACCGGGACCTGCTTTTACAGGATACAATGACGGAGCACATGCAGACGCTTTACACCAAGTACAACCGCGCCGGGTTTCCCTTCAAGGACGGCAACACCGTCCGCAGCTTCAAGGCGCACTGGGGTAAGTGTCCAAACTTTTACGCACGTTAACAAAGCGGAGTTGGAGAGCGTTTACGCGCACGTCCTCTTTCGGGTAACATGAACCGGACCGGGTCACATCTTCTGCCTTCACTTTACGAGTGCGCCGTGCTGCGCGGACACGTCATTTGTGCGTAATTTAGGAACATACAAAAAGTTTATTACACGGGTTCCGTTTTGAAATAGATTTATTTTTAAACGTGAAAACGGGTGTCACAATCACACACCCGCTGATCCAGCATCACATCTCTTGACGCTAAATCTCTTCTCCCGAAACCTTTTGGTTTTCTCACCTTAACATTTCAGTGTCACATAACTCAGACCTGCTTTTCCTCTTCTCCTCGCGCCAACATCTGGCAGCTGGTCGGCTGCATTCTGCGGCGGACTGAGAGCTTTTCACCGCCGTGAGATTCTTCTATCAACCATTCCACCGGCAACCTTTGCTAAAAAACCTACTAAACATATAAACTCTCAGCTGCTTTCGGACCACCGGTTTCCACACCGGGTGAGAGTGTGTGAGGTGATGCTGCCTCCTATCGGCTGGTAGCTGTATGACAGATCTCACTGTGGAACGTTTTCAATGAACTACGACCTTTTTAAAGAAAAGGTATCCGAGATTGGTATTTAATTACTTGGGCAAATAAAAACCAGCAGTTTCGATGTTGCTGAGGAAATTGCTTAAGATTCAGACATATATACTGATATATTGTTGTGTTTATTGTAGTGTATTCGAAGAATTTGGTCTTGAAGTCCTGCACAGCTGTGTAAATCATTCTGTTCATCATGCACGCAGGTACGATAAACAAGAAGCAGCTGCAGATTTTCAACCTCACCTCCCTCACCAAGTCGGAGGACGTTCTGTCCGCCACTCTTCATTATTACATCGGAGACCTTCAGAACAGCACCTGCTCCCGGTCCAGAAGCTGTGCTCGCCACGGCCCCCGCAGGCACAACCACATCCACATGGTCATCTGGAGCTTCGCCTCTGTGGATAACAAGATAAGGACTCTCGGACACTTTCGGATCAACGTGTCCACCCTCTACAGGGACTTCATATCCTGGCAGTGGAAGGACGTCACGCGAGTGGTGGACCAGGCCAAACACCATGACGAGCTGCTCATCGGGATCGACGTGACTTCCCAAGGTCCCCAGCCCTGGAAGGAGCTCCTGTCCGACCGCTCGCCCTACATCCTGGTCTACGCCAACGACTCGGCCATTTCCGAACCGGAGAGCGTGGTGGCCACGCTGCAGAGGCGCCACCCGGTGGGAGGCGAGGCCCCCAAACTGGGACTGCGTGAGCGAAACGACACGGAACACGAGCTGCGGCAGCCACCGCCGCCGGCGCCGCCCAGGGGCAAGCGCTCGGTCAACGTCCTGCTGCCGCTGCAAAACAACGAGCTGCCCGGCCCCGAGTACCCGTACGAGACGGCCGGGTGGGACGAGGCGAGTCCGTACGAGCCTTTCCAAAACAAGCAGGCCCGCCGGCCACGCAAGAAAACGCGCAAGAATCCGAGGCACAAGATGCCCCTGCTGCAGTTCGACGAGCAGACTATTAAAAAGGCGCGAAAGAAGCAGTGGAACGAGCCCAGGAACTGCGCCCGGAGGTACCTGAAAGTGGACTTTGCCGACATCGGATGGAGTGAGTGGATTATATCCCCCAAGTCGTTTGATGCCTACTACTGCTCAGGGTCCTGCCAGTTCCCCATGCCGAAGGTGAGAGTCTTGCGAGGTACTTCTGCAACGCTTGCCAACCCAAGGGGTCGGTTTGGTTAAAACTCTTTCTGTCTTTATTTGACCTTTTTAGGCCTTTTGAGATTAGTCAATGCCTTCAACAAATGGAACTTGTCTCGCTGGATTACAATGAGACAGGTTGGGAACCATTGGACTGTTGGGTCAACCAAAACCTTTCAGGCTTTTCTCCCAATAGAGTCAATTGTTTTATTTCTATTTCAACCTCAGTTTAAAACCTTCAGTTCTTTTTCCAGCTCTTCAATCCGTTATCGTATCTATTATCTGTATCGTGATATGATTTCGATGGTCTGGTTCAGATACAGCTGATGCCATAACTCAATGCAGTACAAAAGGTATGGTGTACATTATGTAAATAGAGCAGGTTCAGCTGGATAACGTTAATATCAAAAGTCCCTGAAGCCGATCACTCCTATATTATAGATGATAATGACAAACACACTGATATAAATGTTTGCCATGTGCTTTGATCTCCACCTACCAGGACAGAGTGGTAACTCATGCTTTTATCTTCTGAAGTTCATCTTACCCTCATTACATCTTTGTAGAGACACATCCAAACTCAATTTACGTAATACAAACCCATCTAAGGTCAAAGCAAAGTCAAACTCCAGATGATGTCGTTTGAATTCGTAACGAAAGGGGCAAACCGTCCGGCTCGGATGGAGAGGCAGGTGGCGGATCTCAACATTTTATTAACAGTGCTCCTTTGAAAAGGAAGAAGCGCCTTCAAGGAACCAACTCAACTGTATTCCTTTCCTGACGGGTTTTTCCTCAGGGAACATTCACACGTTTAGAAAGAATTGAGAGAAATGCAGAAACCTGTTAAACATCAGCCCTCCCCTAACCCTAACCCCCTCCCCCCCCCGGGACTAGATAACATCACAGGTATTTTAAACGTGGGCGGAATGCACGAGATCCGTCCACTCAATCCATTACCTTTGTAGTCGGACGTAATTAGTCCCAGAAGTGGGGCCCGAGGGCCCCCCTCCCCCTCCCGTGGGCTCTCCGCCTGTGATCTCGTGAGCTCGTTTCTCCTCCGACAGGCTGAACTTTTAAAAGCTGCTAAATAGCCTCCATTAAAAAGTGCCCTGTCACTCATTGGGTTCTGCGGAGACGTGAAGCAGCTGAGCAGGTGTTTGAGGGGCGGGGCGGCTTTTAAATTGCTGCTTGACGGACACGCTGAAGGACATGCAGTCACGTCGCCGTGGTTACGTGTAGTAAAAACCTTTGGATTTGGTTTGGATTAAAGTAAGTGCTTGTTGCATTATTTTAGTTAACCTTTGACCTTTGGTTGGTTACACTCACAGCAGCCTCCTGGGTGAAAGTTCTGTCTTTGTTTGACCACAAACATCCAACCCGACCGGCACTGCAACTCCAAAAACAAACAGAAGTGGGGGGAGAGAAAGTTCCTCCTCAAAAGGCCATCGATAGTTCTGAAGGCTGCGATACGATAAGGACAAATGGTCACAATGCACCAAACCACTTTAAAATGAGGAAAGATCTCAACGGAAACCTTCGCTAGACTGAATAGATTTGATTATATTTCACCAAACTCTATTTAAAGGTGAGAACCAGGTTTATGAGGCGGCTTAACCTATAAAACAGCTGCTCCGGTTTTGAGATGAATCAAGCGACCAAGTTGTGAGTCGTCGTTCTTGCATGTTGGGAGCAGGTTGTGTAGCGTGGATGCACGGACGCCCCTCTGGCTCGCTCATGGGCCGCGTGTCATGTTCCCCCTGTGTTCCTCCTGCCACAGGCCTTGAAGCCCTCCAACCACGCCACCATCCAGAGCATCGTGCGGGCGGTGGGCGTCGTGCCGGGCATCCCGGAGCCGTGCTGCGTCCCGGAGAAGATGTCTTCCCTCAGCATCCTCTTCTTCGACGAGGACAAGAACGTGGTGCTGAAGGTCTACCCCAACATGACCGTGGATTCGTGCGCCTGCAGATAGTCCGCTTCCGTTCGAATATCCACACGTGCGGCCCAAAAAAATCGAGGTGAAGGTGGAAGGAAAGGAATCGCGCGAGGAAGGTAAACTGTAACGGAGACACGTCCTCGCTGCAAAAGAATCATAAACGCTGCATCCAGATGTTCAAAGCCGGCTGGAGGACGTGAAGAGAGACAAGAACTGAAGGAAACGTCTCAGACTCAGTTCGACCCGACGCTTCGTCTCTGTCTCTCTCTCGGCCTGAAGTTGTCTTTCGGTCACCTATGCTCGCACTCGCATGGTCTTTGTTACTATCTGTATGTATTTATGTCTGTACTATCACTGTGTTATTCACTATATGAGCAGTTATTGTGTAATTATTGGCTTGGCTGCTATAAAGAGACGTATTCGATTCCAAAGCCAGACTTGTGACGTGGGCGCTTCAGCGGGCAGCCGTGCGCTTTTGTGTTTTCCTCACTGCTCTGTGGTCAGAGTTTAATCGTAGGATGACTTGCTGGAGGAGACGCATTATACCTTTTTTGCCATTTATTTTTACAAGCAGTCTGCAGATTGATTTTAAAAGATAAAGGGATCAGCATATCAAAAAGAGACTGCATTGAACGAGGTTAAACCGTTATAAAATCCATCTGATGGGCTCGGACAGAAGTCGGCCGTGGGACATAAAGGATTCATACGCGTGGTTTTAATGAGCCTGATTTTTCTGTTGTTTGTTAAATGGATATACAGAATGTCATTCATCAAGAAATTGTTGTAAACTGCCAGAATGCTCGTAGAAATCAGTTTTTTTCAACAAAAAAAATGAACAAAAAAAGTTGGTTTCAAGTCCGCGTCGACTGCAGGTCTGGAATGAGTTTTGCATTTTGGGTTTTCATCGATAAAACAACATTTGCGCCGTCTTACACGTCAGTTTTCACTCCGATTTTCAGCGAGTTGAGCAGAAGATCAAATCTGATGGATGGATGAGCTGATTTGTGTTGCTGGTTGACCTACACCTTTAACATCCCTGTTAAGAGTCGCCATTACGTAAATGATGGCGGTTATTTGATCCCGTCAGGCCGACGTTGAACAACAGGATGAGCAGTGAACACGTCGTCCATCAATCAGAGCTCCTGAAACCAAATATTTATTCAGATGAAATATTCTGAAATCCAGCAGCACACCTGTTTCATTCCATGGACTTGTATATTGTTTCTGTACATAACATCTGTTTTCATCCGGTGGATTCCTGCTTTTGATTCATCGCCTGTTTGGAGAACTGAGCTCCGTTTGCAATGAAGTTGAAGTGGAAGCGAGCAGCTGGTCAAAGATCTCTGCCACGAGAGAACAAAGTGCGTTTTCTTTTGATGAGAATGAATTTACTCTCAAATGTATTTTGCATCATTTCCCAGAGGCATTTATTCTTTGTCGATTTTCTAACTTTATATATTTTGTACTGACACTTTTTTTGTGCCTCCTCATCTCGCGCCAGTGTCGGTTGTCTCAGCGAGCGCTGCGGCGTGAAGCGGCGTCCTCTGGTTTCTAAAGGCCTGTGGGCTCATCGGAGGGACAAACATTATATTGGCTCCACTTCCCCGTTCAGTCCCATCTTGTAAACTAAACACAATCGCTTGTACAATAAGCTTCATAAAATATATTTGTATATGGAAATGACCCTTTAACATGCACCTATTTATTTTCTGTATGTTGCATATCTTGTACAGGTGTGGTCTGTTTAAACCCCCCCCCCCCCTAAATCCTCTGCGCTCTGACCATCCCTACGAAGCATTCAAAGAACTGAATAAAAGTATGCAAGACTCATTGGAAGTTATTACGGTTGAACACGATGACGTCATCTTCTTTTTAAGCTGGCAGGCTTCATCAAAGGAACAAATAGCAGCAACGAACAGAAAGGAAACCGAATGCACTGTAAGAATGACATGGAGGCAGCTGTGCAGGTTGCTTTGAGTAATATCTTCAGGGAAGATCCAGGAAAACGATTCGATTGGAAGAGAAAAGACGATTTGGAAATATTAACACAGCTGTGTCCTGCATGCAGAGTCATTATCTGGAGGCCGCAGTGTCTCCGTGTGCTCACACACACGCGGTTTACCAAGTAACGCGTTGCTCCTTCAGGCGCCCTGGATGCTCATCCTAAGGTCTTCGTGTTCTTTAGTGGTTCTCTTCCTGGTGACGACACTGTTAGCGGAGGAACCGTGTGGGATCCCAGTGAGAAGGTGGAAAAGTCACAGCGCCTCTGTTTGTTCTCAAATCGTTTTCCTTATTTGAAGTGTCGTCTCAGACACACACACGCGCACACACACACGCACACACACACCTCCTTTTCTCAACAGACGTAAACAAGCTGGACATGTAATCCCCCCCTGGCTGTAAGGAAATAGAGACTTTGCAGCTGCATCACAATGATCCCCCACCAACCACATCTGGAGCCATCGTGGGGCCGTGAATATGATATTCCAGAGGTATCTGTAAGAGATTATCATACGGGCGGAGATCGATTGAGGAATGTGAGAACATAACACTGCCATGCGACTCGGTTTTCAAGGCTTCCTGCAAACTGTTATGAGACGAGGCCTGCGTGCCTCAGCCTGCAGGCTAGCTTGGCGAAGCTAACGCCGTAATCACGTAATCAACAACCACCGACTTTGGAGCCGCAGCCGAGACCACCGAGCAGGGAAGTTTGTGCAGTGGCTTCCCTGCTTGCCGTGTTCATCCGTGATTAAATAGGACTACGTTGGCTTTTTGACTTGTTATTGCCTCAATGTTCCAAACCTCTCAGCGCTTAGCTTGTGCTAAACACGGAGCTTTAGCACATAAGTAACGGAAGACTAAAGCACATTTGTTTGCAATTCAAAAGTTCTATTAGGGATTCACAATTGCGGACAGAAAAAGACATTTAATTCTTACATTTTAGGTTGTTAAAATAGTTTGACTGACGGTGCAGAGCTAACCTCGTAACCCGACTCACTCTGGCTCGTCATATTTTATAGATAAATACATTTATTGTATCTTGGGGCTGAAGGTATGTTGATGAAGTTGCAGCAAAGCAGCAGAGAGTCACATGTTGTTTTTGTTGGAATTGACGAAGTAACGGAAAGGTCTCGGGTGACCTGTCAATCACAGTAAGCTCCGCCCTAAACTCTGCTTTACGGGATATTTGACTATAAATGGAGCATAATTTACTAAATGCACATCATGATGTATTGAAGAAGATCTAAAACCAGAGACTGAGACAGAAAACGCATGTTTACAATGTTTACTGAGGTCATAAATCAAGTGAGGAGTAGTGACATTTTCTCATAGACTTCTATACAATCAGACGTCTTCTTTGCAACCTGACTGACCCCTGCTGGTCAGACGGGAAAATGCAAGTTTTAAGACACTTCTGCATCGGCTTCACGTGACAAAACCGCCGTCTGCCGTCTGATTGCAGCACAAAGGTGCAACATTCCTCAGCAGCAGATTTCAGTTTTAGGAATTTTAGCTTTGATGCTAACAACACGCTGCAATTGTTGTACCACTATTAGCACTACATTGTACATGATTTGCTGCAGTGCCGGTCAGATATATTAGCTGAATGGATGGTGACGGTAACGTAACAACCTGTTAAACTTGAGTCTTTTGTTTTTGTGTCAAGGCGGCCAATAAGATCATAAAGTTAGCAGCTTAGTGCAGTCACTGTTTCTGAGAACATGAGGACCTCCACCATGTAAGATCCCCTGAACACCCACTCTGCCCATTAAGGACAACAAGGAAAGATGGAGCGGAAAGTCTCAGAAGTCCATGTCCCAACCGGACAGCTCATCTGGAGGACTGTCCTCGTCCGGAGGGTAGCTGTCGAAATAGCTGTGATCTGTCGGTCCCGTGAGCTGAAAGAAAAGACAACCAAGGAGGAAAGGACAGTAATTAAGATATCAATGTTTAAGATGGCCTCACAAGCATCAGCACGTTATAGCTGTAGATTTAAATAGATTAAATTCACATTGACATTATAGCTATCAAACAAATCTCCATCTGTGCTCCTTTTATTATATCTGCTTTGCATTAGAACTTAGCAAAATACTTCTAGTTCAACAAATCTGGATGAAGAGCTACACTTACTTCTCTTTTCAGAGGTGATGGTAAAGTCATGGCCTTCAGTCCCTCCCAGTTGAAGCCGTTAAACCACCTTCAGGCAAACAAAAACAAGTAAACCTGAGCCAGACAGCGGAAACACATTGATGTTGTAAATCAAAGCTCGACTAATTCCCCCCTCTGATGTTACATGAACCTTTATGACCATTTGTCCTAAACTTGACCCCTTGTTTCTGGGGGCATGCCTGATATTTGGTCTTCCTCGGGGCGTATTCCCTCAAAATCTAATTGATGTACGGACAGACTGTCACGTCCAATAACGCAATGACCCTTGTGAACATCTTGGCGTCCCTCTGCTGTCGCACAGTGTGATCACTGATTATCTAATTGCTGAGGTCATTAACCGCCGGCTCACATTCGTAATGTTCAATCAGTGCTAATAGCTCGTGCTAATCTCCCCGTCCTTACCGGTGCTTCTTGATATCAGTTATTCCGTTTTTGAGGTTTCCCAGTCGCTCTGAGGGATTCCGCCTGGAAGGTGAAACAAGGACCGTTTTGACCAAAACAATCTCTTTTTGGATAACAGATGCTTGCTAACCTTTAATTAGACCCTTGCGGTGGTGTACGTGAAGGTGTAAAGGGGATTTTCTACCTGCACAGCTTCCGTATGAGGTCCTCGGGTCTCTTTGTGACCTTCTTGGGAAAGTCCATTTTCTCGATTCCCTTCAAGATGAAGGTGTACGTCATCATCTGGTCACTTCCGGTGAACGGGGGACTGTGGAGTGCAGTGCAAAGAAAAAGATTGAATTGCTTTGATCGGTCTGTTGATAATAATAATATTAACAGTAATAACAATTACTGCAAATCAGGAAGTAGATTGAAACGATAATCAGAGGAAGGGCGATGACATGGTGCGATACGAAGAACAGATGGCCGACCTGCCGGTGAGGAGCTCAAACACCAGGATGCCCAGAGACCAGAAGTCCACACTGAAGTTGTGGCCTTTGTTGAGGATGATCTCGGGGGCCACGTACTCCGGTGTCCCGCAGAAGGTCCAGGTCTTTTGGCCGCATCGGATCTTCTTGGCAAAACCAAAGTCAACCTGGGAAGGAAGGGTCGATCAGTGAAAGACCACCGGGGGAAAATACCCCAAGTGACCCCTCACCCTGAGGAACCTTTGAGACCTGTTTGGCTCCCGAGTAGCAAACTGCCTCAAGAAGTGCGTCGTTTTAGCTCCATCACTTACGCACAATAGTTCCTGCAGTGAGTGCAAAGCTCCAACTTGTTTGACTCGCCAGCTGTGGTTACTGATTTGGTCTTTTTAGGATGGGGATTGAGACGCGGGCAGTCGCTCACCAGCTTGATGTACCCCTCAGCGTCCAGCATGAGATTCTCAGGCTTCAGGTCTCTGTAGAGGACCCCTTTGCGATGGAGGTAATCGAACGCCTCAGTGACGCAACCGACGCAGAATTTGGCGGTGGGCTCGTCAAAACTCCCCCTGAAAGGCGGCAGAACGAGGTCAGACTTCTCTACGCGGAAGCAGCTCATTTTCTGTGACGGTAACCGGACAGTAACACAATTACTTCACGCGGCGAGACGCAAACAAAATGACCAAGCTGCGGAAAAAGGAGGGTTGTCCATCAGCCGGCGGTGGCTGTGTCCTACCTGTCTCTGAGCAGACTCCAGATCTCCCCCCCCAGACAGGCCTCCAGCAGCATGTACACGTACTTGTTGTCCTTAAATGTGCGATACAGTCTGCAGCAAAAGAAGCACAGACGGGGTTAAGCTTCGAAGACAAAGGTGTCATGTAAGCGACCAGAGGGCACGTCGACGTCAGCTCGGATCAGCGTTTGGTCTCTTACGTTAGAGAGTTGCAGAAAACAGGAAGACATTACCAGTTGTTATTATGTCTTTCTAATATAATTAGCACATTATCCATTAGTAGAGCACAGTTATATTTAATGATCATTTGTCTTAATAGTGCAAATAAGCTTTCTTTTGTAAAAAGAAATAAAGAAAAGCAGACTTCTGGCTTGATTCAAAACTACAAAAAGCAATATGGAGATAATTAATTACGCAAAACAGACCATGAACAGAAAGTAGATTTCTTATGCAAATCAATGCAATGTATTCAAAGACATTACTGCTCAAGTTATTGCTTCATTTGTGTACTAATGTGGTTTTAATTGACCCTCCATCGCCTCAGCCTGACAATCATATAAAATATGAAGAGACAACAGGGGGATGAATGCATGCAGTGTGTGAAGAGGAGGTCAACGGGACGAGCGTTTCAGGAGTTGAAGAATGGTTTTAATATCTGGCTGCAGTTGAAGCGGATCACCGTTACGTATCACAAACGCTGCATTATTTCACAGCAAGTACTTTTACAAAGGGGACGTCTTTATAGCCCCCGCGATTCCTCCCCGCTGACACGACATAATCTGCTGGAGGCCTCGACTCTGATCTCATCAAAAACCTAATAACTGTTTGCTCCTGGGCTGATGGAGCAGAGCTGCGTGACGGAGGATAAACGGACGGAGGTTGGAGGACTGACTTGACAACGAACGGCGAGCGGGCCTCCGTGAGGATCTTCCTCTCCGAGTGGATGTGCTCCTCCTGCCTGTTGTCCACGATGTGCTTTTTCTTGATGACCTTTAGAGCAAAGGTGACGTCCTCGTCCTGCACCTTCACCTGCAGATTGACATGTGAGGGGGGTGACGTAGAGACGCTTTATACAAGTGTAGTAGGACCTGTCAATCACAGAAACTACTTTCCTCGCTGTAGTTTTCACATTGATTACTGCAAAAACTCTTCATGGATTAAATGAATTGTCTACGGCGGCTCGTGGATTCTGGACCCACCAGTTCTACTCGCCCGAAGCCGCCGACCCCGAGGGTGGCGATGACCTCCAGGTGCTCGAAGGGCCTGGACGGAGGAAACGCCGACACCCTGTCCTTCAGCTGGATGACGTCCGCCGACAGCGGCTGGCTCTGGTGACGGGACACCGACCTCCTGGAGGGACGCGGGACGGGGGACGTCACCTCGTTTCAACAAAGGCACGGAAGAGACGGCCTCCCAACGAGAGAGCCTACCTGGCGTGTCTCTTCTTGTCGTCGCGATCCAGCGTGGCCACGTAGCCCTCGAGGTACTTCTGCAGCTCATTGAAGGTCCCCACCGTCTGGTTAAATGTCCTGTCAAACAACGACACACGTCAACTTGTTTAGGTTCAGGCCACAAATCCCCTTAGCAGGTTAAGGACAAATATTAAGTTTGGCCTTAAAGTAACTTGTCAAGTAAAGTCATTAACACGCCGGGACATGAACACCGGCCTCCTGGTTGAAGGTCCTGTGTTTGTCCACTCGCCCTCCTGTGTGGGCTCTTTTTTACATCACGCCCCTCGAGCATTTTCTCAGAGCATCTAACAATGGGGAAGAAGAACGGGCGACTGGAGGGACTGGAGGGACTGGAGGGACTGGAGGAAATGGCGGGACTGGCGGGAATGGTGGGACTGGAGGGACTGGAGGGACTGGAGGGACTGGAGGGAATGGTGGGACTGGAGGGACTGGAGGGAATGGTGGGACTGGAGGGAATGGTGGGACTGGCGGCGGGGCAAAGCGGTGGCGTTGGACGCCCTGAGAAAGATAATATCTAATTGAAATGTTTTTCTCTCCTGCGTTAAAAAGAATCCCAGTTTTAATGGATAAAGAAAAGAAAAAGCATTTAGTGTAAATAACTGGGACAAAAAATTGTTAATAATAGTTCTTAAGACATAAACCCAGGAGAGAAAAGAATCAGATCATATTTAGAAAATTAATCACCAGAACGTTTTTTTTTTGTAATTATTTTTCGTGACTTTTTTTTGGTGACTTTTTTTTTTTTTTGGTGACTTTTTTATTTTTTCAATTATTATTATTTTTTTTTTTGACTTTTTAATTTTTTTAATTATTTTTCGTGACTTTTTCCAATGCAGTTAGAACAAAAAGTCCTTGAAAGGTCAGAACACTCACTCTCTGTCGATGACGAGGCACTCCACCCCGTTCTCCTCGGCTATGATGTTAGCCGACCGGACATCATCGCTAGAAAAGAGACATTTCTCACTGTCGCGACGGTCTCAAGATAAACAGAGCGTATCGCTTTCAACTTTCTACAATAACAGCAGAGCGTGAATATTTGAAACATTTTGCACCCAAAAAGACCCATGAATCTGTTGTCGAATCTGGTGTTTTCTCTGAAATAAAGATAAAAAGCACGTTACCTTATTAGGGCTTTCTCTCCAAAGTAGTCTCCCTTCTGCAGCGTGTTGATGGTCTGCGGCAGCTGGTGGTCCTCGGTGGTCTGAGTCACCTTCACCTGCACACAACACAGCCGTCAGGACCCTCGAAGCAACTGTCACTCCGCTGCAGCTTCCACGAGTGCTCTCAGTTACTCTCACAGGTTATATTTGCATGCACTGTAAAAAGAATCCCTGAGAATTGGAATAATTGACGTATTAAATGGTGGTAATTGGAACACGTGTGGCTACGAGTGATAAACGGGCGTTGATGTCGCACGTGCTCTTGACGTGCTGTCAAAACAGACGTATTTGTGGGAGGGTTCAAATCCGTAACGGCCAGGATGTGTTTTGGCTAAGTGTCCCGTTTGACCTCCAGCGACCTTCACTCCCCCTGTTTCTCCTGGTGGGGAGAGGGGGGTTCCTGTATTAGCCCCCTTGTCTCCCAAACAACATGTGTCCCTCTCCGGTTTGGTTAGCTTAGCGCTGAGGAGCTGCTGTCTCGCATGGGCTCATAATGGCATTTTGATAGTCCCCTGTGGACGTCTCCGGCCCCCTCTCCATCGCCCCCCCTCCCCCACCCCCCGGTGTCGGGTTGCCGAATTATCAGACAGGCGGGCGGGTGAGTCATACCCCCGGACTCACCCGCCGTCGGACCAACCTGTTCTTTTGTTGGAGTATTAGCATCTGTTTTAGGAGGAAAACACAATTTTCTTGAGCATTTTATCTTTGAGATACCGAGTCAGTTAAACAACATCGTCCATTAAAGTCTGACACACATAAAAAAAAAACGTTGAATCATTTTCAATTTAATTGAAGTGACAGAGGAAGGCCGCAGGAGCTAAAAGGTCTGAAAGCGGCATTTCTTTAACCATCCAACACTCGTGCCGACTGGAGAAAGACCCGTGATGCAGCTTCGTCTAAGCGAGGCCCTGCGGGATTTGTTGCATTGTTGTGGGACCGGATTAAAGCTCGTGTCTAATTAGTCTCGTGGTTTAAAAACGTACCCGGGCCCTAACGTGGTAGAATCACCAGTGGGCATAACGGACAACGAACCCAAAGCCCATAGATGTTATTAAAGAACTGAATAACAGACCTAATCATGGCAACGTGTATTTTCCACCAAACATTCCTGCAATGCAACTTTTTAAATAGTCCAGTTCACCCGATTTATACACACACTTTCTTGAGCTAACTTGAAATCTGGCCCAGTGAACATTTTTATTAGCGATTCTCCAACACAATATTTTAATGACTTGACTTATTTCAAATATTGCTTTTTTGGCTCAAGAAAGGTTTTGCAAAAATGAAACCTTCATAGATGTTTATGGTCGTAAATAAAGTCACAACGGACCTTGTTTGAAGTTCAACGGCTCCTTTCAACAGTTTGCTTGTATTTTATAATTGTGGTCTACGGGAAGAAATAGTGCAGAAACATTCTCCAAGAGTGGTAACAAAATGTTTCTGTCACAAATAAACCTAATTGTTGTGTGAACCAGGTAATTTATGAGGGACGGATGAAGTTTACACTTTAGAGCGAGGACATTTCTGTAGTTAAAATCATTCACGGCGGCCCGCCGCATGATGGACGCGCTCGTTTGTGTGCGTTCGTTACCTTCCCCTGTGCGATGATGTAGAAGGTGCTGCCCTCCTCTCCCTCCCGGATGACGTGCTCTCCCTTGTCATAGTATTCCTAATGGGGGAGAGAGGACACGGCAGTCAGTTGAAGCGTCGCATTGATTGGCGCATTGACCCGGCTGTTCTGATTCCTGGTAGCCGGTCCCCTGCGGGAGGAACGCGGGAGTCAATGATGCTCCATCACTCACAGCTTCTCAGCTCGCTGATCGGGGGGGGGGGGGGGATTTTTTGGGGGCCTCGTGGGATTAATGAGACCAGAACAGGTCGATGCCATGTGATTATGATGTCCACGAGGGCCCCCATGGTTTATGTTAATATTAAATCAAATGTGCATTAAATCTTGGCCAAGATTACTTCCTGCTTTGTCACGTGATGCATTTTTCAGTGTGTATTCATTTAACTACTTTATTAATCTAACAATGGATTCACTGCCAGTAACGTAAGTTAAATTACACAAACCTGAGGTGCTGAGCAGAAAGAGGAAAGGACCAGAAATGTCACGGTTATCTGCTCTAGAACAGATGGACAGATTTGGTCCAAGAGGTTAAAACCAGGCGGTTGAAGCTGCATCCTCTGTAGTGACCAGCAGGGGGCGAATATTTTCCTACACTTATCTTATCCACCGTTTGGTTGGAGCTAACCAAGATGGCAATGGACAAAAACAAAGATGGCGTCAGGGAAAAATGCGGTGCTGGAGTCTTTGAAATGTCACTTGGGTCGCCATGACTACGCCCACCAGAAAGACTTAAATGGCAAGAATGTCTTGCAGTAGCAGCGTTGTCATGATTCGATCGTACCCGACACCCGTCAGCCAA